GGCTGCTATTGGCTCCTGGCATGCTCCTTGCCGGAGTTGCCTGCCTACTTATTGTTTCTTCTGCTTGTTCAGCTCTGCTATTAAGCCCCCTCATGATTTTTTCATTTGTTATTATAATGTTTAGCTCCAGAATTTCTGTTTGGTTCCTTTTTATGTTTTCTATCATTTTATTGATGTTCTCTGGTGAGACATCATGCTTTTCTTTAGTTCTTCAGACATGTTTTCTTTAGCTGTTTGGATATATTTAAAATGGCTGGTTTAAAGTCTTGGTCTACGGTTCCCGCTCACTGGCTGAGCGCGGTGCGGGCGCAACACCGAGGGTTGCGATCCCGTTGTCGGTCCCGGTCCGGTACGGGCGCGACACTGAGGGTTGCGATCCATTGCCGGACACGAAAAAAGACAAAAAGGAAAAAAAAAAAGTGAGGAAAGCATGGCTTACCCTGTAGTCTGTTATTCCAGAATGTTGGATCCTTGATATCTGGTAAGAATTTGCATCACACTTAAGTTCTAAGAGTGAGATAGGAAATACACTGACACTGATATTAATTCTGAGCAGTTAATGCCATTGTTTTTGCTTTGATTCCTGTGGAGGATTAATAAAGCACCATTACTCACGCTCTTGCTGCCTCCTGGACAGGTTCTGGGGAGCCCTGTGTCCCTGGGCCTCAGGTCACATGGCCAGCCTCCTGGCCACTCCAGGATGCAGGCTCAGCATGCTCCTCAATTGCTGTGTGAGAACCAGGCCTCTGATGCCTACCCTCCCATCTCAGCTCTGCTACTGACATACTGCAGGGTCTGGAGCCAAACACTCAACATCCCCACACTTTATTTACTAGCTTCTAAATGTAGAAATGATAATATACTGTGTAGCAAATTTATTTGAGCATATGTTCACTTCTTGGTAGATTATTTGCAATAAAGGCAGAATTCAAGACCAGCTTCCCTGCTCCTCAGGACATTTCTGGGCCACATTCCTCAACCAATTAGCTAGAAGTTTTTGCAAGAATTACAAGCAAATGTTGCCATTAGCCTTAGCAAAACAATGCTAAGTTATGCCGCCTCCAAACATACACAGCATTTTCTCTTACCCATGACCTGAATTGAACAAATCACTACTTTTTTCCATTGCTTTTATGTGAAACTTCACTTCAGTCAAATGCGGATTTACTCCCAAAGAGAGAATAACTTTACAAAAAGATCCACAGTAAGATAGATTAAAACATGAAGCATTCCAATGGCGTTTAAACTGTGGTCGTTTTAACTATAATTAAGTTGATCCACACATAGCTCTTCGGAAGAGAGCTAATGCATAGAGTAAGGTCTAATGATCCACGCCGTGCTTGTGGCTGTTTATCCCAGCTCAGATCCCACCTCTTCAAGAGGCTCTCCCATGCTACTCCACCTGGAAGGCCCTCCATAGCATGCTGGAAACCTCCCCATGTTCTGTTGTATCTTAGTTTGTTTGGGCTGCCATTATGAAGTCCCACAGACTGAGTGGCTTTAACAACAGAAATTTATTTTCTCACAGTTCTGGAAGCTAGAAGTCCAAGCCCAAGGTGTTGGCAGGCTTGGTTTCTCGTGCGGCCCCTCCTTGGCTTGCAGATGGCTGCCTCTGGCTGTGTCCTCACGTGGTCTTTTCTCTGTGCACACACATCCCTGGTGTCTCTTCCTCCTTTTATAAGAACACCAGTCATGGGAATAGGGCCCCACTCTAACGGCCTCATTCTCACTTCATCATTTCTCTAAAGACCTTATCTCCAAATACGGTTATGTTCTGAGGTACAGGGGGATTGAATATCAACATGAATTTGGGGGCAGGGAGACACAATTCAGCCCTTCATCCCTCGTCGTTCACTTAGAATATTAGTAAGTATTCTAATTCTCCATTCTCCGAGTGTCTCTTCTCCTCAGCTTGCATGTAAGCTCCCTGGGTGAAAAGCCCTGTTGTAAGATTCTGTATCCCCAGCAATCAATGGTTTGATTGATCTCCCTGATCACTATTGGAATTTTGTTCACATTTATCCTGATGGAAACATATTTTGGAAGGAAAAATTAATCAGTCACCATGGCTTCATGTCAGTGACCTGGCTAGATAATTTCCAAGTTTCCTCATAAATATGACTGTTGATTTCTCATCACCATCTATGTGGCTCTCCTGTGAAACTCCTCTCTCTAGGGAGTTTCAGCCATTTGCTTAATTTCCATATGAAGGCATCCCAAGAGGAGCCAGTCCTAACTCTTAAAAATTCCATATGCATTGCTTACTTTTACGTCTGCATCCAGCAGCACCTGAAACCCTGGCCTGATCAGGACCTAGCAGTTCATCTCATTTTATTTTGCAGCTGAGGAAACAGAGGCCCAGGGCAGTGCAATGGCTTGCTGAATGCTTCCTTGCAAGGACTTCAAGAAAGTTTTCCCAGCTCTGAGGACAGCATTCTTTCCAATAACCCATCAATCCTCATTATGCAAAGAGAAGAGCAAAGGCTTTCTGTTTTATGCACAATAACTCATATAATGAAGTGCAATCACAGCCTCTCCTATGAATTCCAAGGAACCCTAAAGCAGCATCTTTTGGTTCCAAAAAGATCTAGCATAACAATTTTATTGGTTCATAAAATGCTCAAATGCTCAAACCATATGCTTAAGTACAATTCCCAATGGATATATCCTTCCTCAGATGAAAAAAAGAAGAGTTTTTCAACATCAGGTGTTAAAATAAGTGTAGATATTGGGGAAAATAATCTAAATTTAGCCCTGAGTTAGTTCCAGAACAGAGGAGATGATGATGCCAGCTTCACGGCCTGGCGTCTCCACGCCTGCAAATCCTGCTCTAAGTTTGCTCAGTAGGTACAAATCATACCCAAAGACATTTGTACATACACATGAGCCTTGCTAGACACATCTTATGTACAGTACTGTTTATAAAAGTGGAAAAGTCAATGTATATACCAAGCAGACTTTCAAATCAGGTCATATATTTTGTCATCTGAAAATACATAGACATAACCCATATGGAGATATGGTGGCTTCCTCATGCCAGCCTCTCTTTGAAAGTGAAGGTGAGATCTCACGTCAGACACTCATGAGAGCTTCACTGTCCCACCATCAAAAGGGCTCTTCTCTCATGACCAGACAAGTGAAACACCCATAGTCTGAAAAGAAGGTGTGTCTCATTGTGACAGAGGCTTTGTGCAAATGATCCCTTGTGCCCATATCAAGGATGTGGGTCTGAAAAACAAAAGACTGTGTTGCTGGCTTGGTTTCTCTGTGGTGTTTGTAATGACCCTTTTTTACTTACTGGAGTCTGACTTTCTAAAATGTGTCTTGTTCATTTTCCACCGAGATTGAGAGAACTGCACGTGGCAGTTTATGAATTGGATCTCCCAGTAAGGCTCTGAAAGACAACAGGAGTGGGGTGGTCTCTGTGTGTGAAACTCCCTGCATAGAGCTGGAGTCGGGCTGTGACATACAATCCCATCTGTGTGTGACCCAGCAGCCTGCAAACAGCTTCCCTGCAAGGGGAGATGCATGCCAAGTGAGGACGACAGAGACTTTTGTTAATTCTGTTTATCTCAGAGACTGATCATTTGTCTGTTGGGGGAATAAAAAACAAGTAAATACATTCCTTGCTTATGTGCAGTCTGAATTGTTTGTTTTCTCCATGTCTTTATTTCCAATTCTCCAAATATCCCTTCCCTTGAATTGTGGTAATCACTTTATGGCATTTTTATGTACACAGTTATACAGCCCCAGGTGCACGGCACAAAGTTTGAATCCATATTTTCAGACTCCTTTGGCTTTGGCAGTCTGTGGAGATCCATAATGAGATACAAGAGTTCTCATCCCCTTTCTGTTAGCAGAATTTATAGAGTTGTCCCTGTGCTCAGGGCACGTAGCTTAGTCTTACATTATCAGCAATAACAGTGCATTCTTAACAGCCTCCCTGGATAGTTTACTAAATTCTTTCTGAGAGCCTCTTGCTGGCCCTTACAAAGGTTAACTGAACAACAGACCAGAAGCTGGAAGTCCAACTATGTAAGCAAAACAGGGCTGCACATACTATTGCACAGATAGAGGACCAGGTTTGTGGAATCACATTTGGAGTTTTGGCAATTCCAGATAAAGGTCATCTTTAGGCAAATCAGCTTTCCCCAGACCAGGAAGTCTGGCTTTGCTGGGATTTTGTTTTGTTTGTTTTTACAGATGCTGGAAATTAAAAATGGAGAATCTGAACTACACAATAATTTTTTTTTCTTCTCCATGTCTTTTCACCTGGACCAAAAAAGCAAAAGAAGAGGAAAGGTGGCATTACTAAATAACAGTAAAGAGTGTGACCTAAAAATCCCCTCCAAGAAATCCAGGAACACGATTCCCCTTCAAAGAGTCCTGTGGGTAACTTTCACAGTCTAACACATTGATGAACTAGCCAAGTGACTATAGGATGACAGATCACTGCAGAGTAAAGGAACAGAAGGAATTCGTCATGGACACATGAAAACCTGTTGATTTTTTAAACCTCAACATAGAAAATATGAAGTTAGCTAGAATTTTTATTTGTAAAATAAATAGCCACATTTTTATCATCAAATAGTATACATTGCTATAGTTCTCTGTTTTCTACACTGAGAATCCAAGACAGGTCCTCGGGATAACTTTTGGGAAACAACATAACCATGAAAAAAAAAAAATCTTCTCAGCTAAGAACACAAACTTCTTGTCTGTCTTTAGTGTCCCAAAGAACTAGGGAGACCTGAACATTTAAATAAGACTCCAGTACCAGGAGCTAACTGTTCCCTGCTTGACTCCAGCTCTCCCCTCCCCACCAAGAAGAGGACATGGTACTCACCAGTCATTAGGGTATAGTAATTGGGATACGAGAGACTAGGGAAGTCTGGGGTCAGGTAATCCACTTTTACTCCCCTGTTCACAATCTCTTTGAAACCAGGCAGCGACTCCAGGGCCTCATCACTGATGTAGTCTGACCGAAAACCATCCAGCAGAAACACCAGGAGCTTCCGGCGGGCAGAGGCTGGCTGAGCCAGGCCAAGCACCAGGACCAGCAGGAGAGCCCCCAGCTTCGCTGCCATGCTGCCAGGAGCCTGCCACAGCCCGGCTGGCACAGCCGTCCCCTTGCAAAGCCTGAGGATGGAGAGTCTGTAGCTATTCTCTCTTGTAGGGGCTGGACCCTGAGCTGCTGGCCTTGCTGAGCCAAGTTCACTTTCAGAATTTAAAGGAACAGCAACCTCTTTTAAAAATATCTATGCTCATCCTTTGTGAGAAAGCCCAGAGCCCGACTCCTTCAGATAAGCTGGGTTCCCAAACAACCCAGGATTAACACCAGGGGAAAGAGTACAACCATATTATTTTGGGTGAGTGTTCCAGAAATACAAGCACCCACAGAGAGGTGGAATTTTAGAAGATGACAAAGTCAACACTAACTTTGCAGTTGAGCTAACCAAAAGGAGGAGCCAAGAAAAGGACAATCTTTTAATTTCATGTTATCCCACGTCTTTACCTCTCTTACTGACTTTTTCACTTGCGATTTAGTTACACAAACTTCTTAATTCGGTATATAAACAACAGATGATAAATTTTGGTAGGTCTATGTGTGAACTTTCCAGTATTGTCTCCATAGCCATAGCATTTAAAAACAAATAAAATGTCTATGTCTTGGCCACTTGTTTTTTTCATATGTATCTATATGCAGTGTTATTATTTTATTTTTCAAATAAGAATAAACTGCTGGTGTCCAGACCCATCTGCAGGAGGAGGTGGTTTACAGAAGAGCTGCAAAGCCAGACAGAAGGTTCCAGAGCTGAACAACAGGCGGTCATTACTGACAGGTGGGTCTGAAATGAGATACAGAGCTGGAGGAAGAGAGTTTGAGATAAGGAGGTGGTTTACAGAAGAGCTGCAAAGCCAGACAGAAGGTTCCAGAGCTGAACAACAGGCAGTCATTACTGACAGGTGGGTCTGAAATGAGATACAGAGCTGGAGGAAGAGAGTTTGAGATGGAAAAGCAGAGCTAGAAATAACCATGCAGGCTTCAGGACAGGAAGGACTTGGCAGAGGAGGGACTCAGAGGCTGCTGAGGTTCAGTACCAAGGAGGTCAGGCAGGGGGAGCCAGAAACAGGTGGGTGAGGAAACAGACTGAGCACTAAGTCCCCAGATTCTGGGGGTTCCCTAGAGTTGTTCTTTCATTTGATGTAAAACTAAACTATATGCTTCAATAAAAAAAAAGTAAATTATATAATTCATGTAAAGACTTATAAAACGTGCATGGCCCATAGCAAATGCTTAACAAATGTTAGTCACTATCAGTGTCATGACATTGCTTAGATCTTGATGAAAACTGCAAGGATCCGCTCCAGACAAAGTTTTTCAGGAAGACAGTCACACCCCAGCTGCTCTGATCTTGATCCGTCCTACAATGCCTCTCCCATCCCTGCCCTCTGTCTGGCCATTTCTTCTTTGCTTGTTCTGTTGTATTGAGAGTCAAGTCCTGACAGTATCACTTTCTAAATTGTGCTGCAAAAAAAGAAACACATCTGCAAAATTATCATTCTTATCTTAGCTGACCTGAACAGAAACAGACTTCATTTTTCCAATAAAAGGTAATTTTTTTATAATTAAATTTTTTTTACTAAAAAATAAGAAAAAGAGGGATTTATTCTTAATGTTTGTTAGTTTAAAAACACAATGTTTATTCTTACTTATATGAGTTGTAGTGCTTTATTGTTGCTCCAAGTAGAAAAAAAAGGGGGGAGAAAGAAAAAGAAAAGAAAAGAAAGGGAGGGAGAAGGTACCGATGAGCCAATGGAGTGCCTGGGCATTGAGCATCACACGCACCTAGAGAAGAATTTCTTCCCATGGTGGAATGCACTAGATGCATTCCATCAGTTCCTTTGCACTCGGGGGTTTCTGGACTATGGATTTGGAGTAATAGTGCAAGTCCGGATGATTTTCCTTGGGGCTGACCCCTGCATTCACATGAGGAAAGGTGAAGCACTCCAAATTTTAAAGATGAATATAAAGGGGGCATCCACTTCTCTCTACCACCTATCAGGGGGTACACCCAAAATATGGTTCCTTGAGTGCTTCATCCAGCTGTTGCAGATGGCAATTCTGAACTAATTCACTTCAAATTAGAGTGACCACACATCCCCAGAGGTTCCCAAGGCTAGCATAGAAACTGCTGTGATGGGCCTGGGCTGGGGGCATTGCAGATATGCACTATATTGTTCTGTGACCATGTTTATGATCACGTTGTTTTATTATCATGTTCAGACAATTTATCTACAGTTTTGGACTAATAAATTGTTAATATGCATCTTTAATATGCATAGTAATATATGAAAAAAGAAAGAAACGTATGGGATGGAATTCAAACTGAGTAAATCCCAGTGTTGCTTATAGTCACACTCCCAGTCTTGGACCTTCTGGCCTAAAAGAGGTGAGGTTGGAAATAAGAGCTAAAAGGCAATATTATAAAAGGTGTTGCAAGATAAGAATTGTGGCACAGCAAGGTTGCTGGCTCAAAGACAGATTAGTTACTGATTGATATCTAAATTGCTGGAAAACTGCTCGAGGGAGAAGGAATGTTTGCTAAGATCAAGCTGTTGTTGATAGGACCACTTAATTGTCTACTGGAATGTCATCTGGCCTGTTTCACTCAAAGTTACCAGCCTATATTGTTAAACTATAATCCCACCTATGTTCTCTTCCTGTAACTTCCTGGTCTGGAAAATAAATGCAGGAAGAGAACCCCATTTTGGGGTTAATTTCCCAAGGAAGGGTTGCCTCTTACTGGAGGGTCCCAGGGAAGTTAATCACTTCGGGGTCTCTCACTGCTCGGAAGAGATGGGCTTTGAGTAATCCTTTGCATCTCCATCACCCAGGAGAAGAGGGGTGACAAATCCATGGGGGGCGAAGCAACACAAAGCAACAAAAGGTAAATGCAATAGACCAAAAAAGGTGGTTAATATTAAGTGCCCAAGGCCTTGTGGTGCAAAATCTGTGTGTCTGTTACGTGGATGTCCTTACTTGGAGGTGGTTATCAGCACCTAATATTTATGAGTGTTTATTGCTGTTCGGTTTTCAAGGGTTGGCAAAGCTGTAACATTATTACCCACAAGGGTTTCACTCAAATAATGCAAAAAAATGAAAAATTTCCTCTAGAAATTGTCCTGAGAGTTGTTTCAGGTCTTTCCAGGCACATGCATGAGCTCACAAGAATGTGCTCTCCAGATAAGTCAGCATTCTGGTGCCTCACCTTCATGGAGAGGCCAGTTGAGGTGGAAAGAGTCTTGGCGAAAGAATACATGATTCCAGAGTCAAGATTCTGGCATTGTGCAATTGTGGGATTCTGAGAAAATTGCCTTTCCATGCTTTAAGTTTTTTCCTCTGAAAAATGACAAAAGCTTTAAGGTGCTTTCCAGACCCAAGTCAGCCCATGTTGGCCAATATCTGCCCTTATTGGTACTATTAATGTATCCCAATTTTGTCAGCCTGTGTTGGCTCTTGCTGGCCCATGTCAACTCTTCCTTACACATCAGACAGTGTGACCATGGTGTCGCGTCTGCCCCAGTTAGGCCCTGGAATTAGGACCTTCATAAATTTTAAAAGATTGAAATAATACAGAATATTTTTTATATACAGCAAAATATTCTTTTAAAATTAAGATGAAACAAGGATATTTTCAGATAAGCAAAAGGTGACAGAATTAGTCACCAACAGACATATACTACAAGAAATAATAAAGAATACCCTTTAGGTTGCAAGGAAATAACACAAGATGAAAATTAAGATCCACTGGAAGGGAATAAATGATCATAAATGGTAAATATGTGACTAAATATAAAAGACTAAATGTTTTCCTTTTCTTAATTTCCTTTAAAAAACTGTTTAAAGTAAAAACAATAACACTGTGATGGGATTTATAACTTAAGAAGAATTGAGATATAAAAACAATAACCTAAAATGTTTAAATGAAATTAAACTGCTATAAAGTTGTTGTTATTTTTTTAATTCATGAAATGGCAAGAGTCAGGTGTAAAGAGTAAAATGTAATGTGATTAAATATTAATTTCAAGTAGACTTTAATAAGAACATATATTGTAATCCCCGTAAAAACCATTAAAAAAAAAGGACACAACTAAGAAGCCAATAGAGAAGAAGAAAACTACCACAGCATAATAAAGGCCAAGCATCTAAGGAGATTGAAACAATAATCAAAAATCTCCCAATAAATAAAAGTGCAGGGAAGATGTCTTCACTGGCAAATTCTACCAAGTATTTAAAGAATTAATGACAATCCTTCTCAAACTCTTTCAAAAACTAAAGAGAAGGGAACATTTCCAGAATCATCTTATGATGCTAACATTATCTTGATATCAAAGCCAGACAAAGACACTACAAGAAAAAAAATGACAATTCAATATCCCTGATGAATACATGTGCACAAATCCTCAACAAAATAGTAGAAAACTGAACTTAACAGCACATTAAAAGGATCATTCACACCATGATTAGGCATGATATATCCCAGGAATGCAAGGATAGTTAAACATACACAAATCTATAAATGAAATGCACCACATTAACAAAATGTATCACATGATCTTCTCAATGCAGAAAAAGCAATTGACAAAATAAATCACTGTTTCATCACAAAAATTCTCAATAAGTTAGATATAGAAGGAAAGTACCTCAACATGATAAAGGCTATATGTGACAAGCTCATATCTAACATCATACTCAATGAGGAACAACTGAAAGCTTTTTCTCCAAGATCAAGAATAAGACAAGAATGCTCACTCTCAACACATTTGTTAACATAGTACTGGAACTCTTAGCCAGAAATAAAAAGAAATAAAAGGTATCCAAATGGGAAAAGAAGAAGTAAAATCATTTCTGTTTGCAGATGATATAGTCTTAGAATATATAGAAAACTATAAAGACTCCACCAAAAACCTGTTACAAATAATAAACTAATTCAGTAAATTTGTAGGATGCCAAATCAACATGCTATAATTAATTGTATTTCTATATACTAACAATAAACCATCTGAAAAGGAAATTGAGAAAACAATTCCATTTCCAATAGCATCAAAAATAATAAAATACTTAGGAATAAACCTAAACAGGGAGGTGAAAGACTTGTACACTGAAAACTACAATACGCTCATGAAA